CTGGCTGATAAACTTTATCTGTAAATATATCCCTCTCCGGCAATGGGCCTTTGACGATTCTCATTCTCCCAAATATCAGAAGTTTAAAATTGATCAACTCCCTAAGATTGTTTACCATCATCAGGATTGGGATTGGACAGATCTCAACAACTACTACACTTGGAAGTATGGCAAGCCTGTCAAACCCGTAAAACGCCGCTCCGAATGTGATATTCCCGACAACTGTGCCTGTCCCTCATGCAAGGCTCCCCAACCTTTTCTCTACCGTAACAACGGAAAGTGCGGCCAGCTTATGTGCAAGGTTTGCCAGTCATTGTTTTCGCCAGACGAAAACCGTTTTTCAAAAAACCTTACTCTTAAGTGTCCTCATTGCTCCCATTCGCTAACACATAAGAAAGACAGAAAGCACTTTGTCATACATAAGTGTGTGAATCCCAAATGTCCCTACTATCTCCATAACCTTAAAAAGGTGGATAAGGCTGATCTGAACGATGGCTACGGAAAGAACAAATATAAACTCCATTACATCTACAGGGAATTCACAATCGACTTCTTCAAGATGGATATAACCTCACTCCCGAAGAACGCCTCATCTCTCAGGTTCTCAAAACACAACGCCTATATCATGTCGCTGTGCCTGACGATGCATGTCAACCTCGGTCTGTCTCTGCGTAAAACTTCTCAGGCTCTGAAGGACCTGTATAACATCTCTGTCTCCCATCAGATGGTTGCGAATTATTGCAAAACCGCAGCCCTGTGCATAAAGCCATTCGTTGATACATATCCCTACGAAAAAGGGAATGTCTTCGCCGCCGACGAAACCTACATAAAAGTCCGCGGGATCAAGGGATATATCTGGTTCATCATCAACGCTGCGACTCGCGCCATTATCGGCTATCAGGTATCGGACAACCGCGGCGTGGGTCCCTGTATCATGGCCATGCGCATGGCCTTCCAGCACCTAAAGGAACTGCCTGAAAATTTCAGGTTCATTGCCGACGGTTACAGCGCTTATCCGCTCGCGGCACAGCAGTTCTTCCACCAGTTCGGCGAAAAATTCAGGTTTGAGATCACCAAGGTAATCGGCCTTACAAACGATGATGCCGTCTCCAAAGAATTCCGTCCTTACAAGCAGATGATCGAACGCTTAAACCGTACATACAAAGCCTCTTATCGCCCCACAAACGGATTCGATGGCTATGACGGCGCGAATTACAATCTCGCTCTCTGGGTAGCGTACTATAACTTCCTGCGTCCCCATAAACTCCATCATTATCGGCCGCCGGTTGATGATCCTTCCATCAAGAACATCGACAGCATGCCCGGTAAATGGCAGCTCATGATACTCTTTGGTCAGCAGACCATTCTTGAATTGCAGCAACAGTCTTCTGCAGAAAAAGGAGCGGAACCGGTGTCAAGGGAACCGTGGAATACCGCAGCGGCAACGCCGCGAGGATATGCCGCGAAAGGCCCTTGACATAAGGTTCACGGATCATCCTATCTGTTGGGAAAGGTGCTCTGCTCCTTTCCCTGCCTCCGGCGAGGACGGGTGCGGGCAGCGCCCGCATCAGGGTCAAGGGACGAGTCCCTTGCAGGTTCTTAGGGCAGCGCCCTAAGCCCTCGGAGAGCCTCTTGGTTATCCAATCAGCAATTCAAAAACAAAATTTACAGCGGTGCCGCTTTGAGCTGGGGTGGGACCGGAGCTTTGTATTGTCACAAAGTAAATGGGATGGGCGAAAAGCGGCACCATTCACATCTATTTCACTTCCCGATTTCGTTTTTAAA